TCTCCGGCTGGGGCTGGGCGTGCACAAACGACTCCACCAGGGCCGCTCGCTCGGTCGATCTCCCTTTAATACAAAGTCGGTTTATCTACATACAGAGGTGGGAAACCACCCAACTGCTTCCGTTTGGGTAGAGTTGAAAGCAACGGCAGATCCGCTCTCATACAAAGAGGAAAACGCTGCGGGTGGGGTCCCCGCCGGCTGCGCTGGTCCCTGTGTCCCAGGGAAAAGGGCGCAGCGGGACCCCCATGTTCGGTGCCCACCGGGTGCAGATGGGCGCTCAGGCTGCCATGGGGGGCAAGGCCGCGTCCCCTGTCCCCAGTGGGTCTGAGCCGGCTGCTGGCAGCCCCGCCCGCGTCTCCGTGCCGTCCCCACCCTCAGGACTGTACTTGATATGTCTGAAAATTTAATAAAAAAAAAAAGTTGGGGGCAAAAAAGGAAGAATAGAAACAAGAAAAGGACGCCTCATTCTTACACGGGCAGGTGGGCAGGGCAGGCACAGCTTGTGATGCTGGGAGGAAAACAGGGAACGGGGAGCCAGCCAAAGGGACAGTCGCGGGCTGGGGCACACGCGTTCTCCGACTGACTAATCGATCACAAAGGACATTTTCTACCGTGAAAAAATAGACTGTCTTTGAACAGAATATGAAAAGCAAAGTTGTTCTTTTTTAAAGTCATTGACTGGCAAGTCTTTTTTTTTTGTTGTTTTTTCTTCTTTTAAAAAAAATGGAAAAAAATACACTATTTAAAAAAAAAAAAAAAAAAAAAAAAGGAAATGTCACCGGATACAGTTACACCAAGAGGTTCAAAAGAAAGCTGGGTTCTGCCCATGCCCCCTCGCCGGCCCGCGCCCCAGGCTGCAGGACAGGAAGGAGGTGCCCGGTCCCCAGGAGGCTGAGGTGAGTCCCTGGCCCGCGCCCCACCCCTTGGGGTCTGGGGAGCCCCGACTGCGTGTCGACCCCCACCCCCCACCCGAGTCTTGGTTTGGAATCGCAAGGTAACGAGGAATGTTCCAAGTGTATGACGGCGGCAGCGGGGGCTGGGGTCCTCGCGGGGGGCTCGGGAGGCCACTTTGGCCCGGGCCCGCTTGGCCCCGAAGCCGCCCCTGCAGCCCCTGCGTGCCCGTCCGCTGCGGGCCCCTCATGGCTTTATGTTGCATAGTGGTCGAAGCTGCCAAGGTACTCCAGCGACGCCTGATAACAGAACTGGTACTCGTCCTGTGGGGAGAGGGCGGCGGGCCGTCAGGACCTCCCTCCCTCTAACATCTCCCAGGGCTCCCAGAGGACTCATCTCGGCCCACATCAGAAGACATTTTTGGCCTTTAGACTTAATGAGTCGGAAGTGTTGACCCTGCCAGGCATGCGCCTCTCATCCCAGCACCCTGAGAGGCTGAGGCAGGAGGATGGCAAATTTGAGCCCAAGTCTGGGTGACTCTGACCGAGTGAGACCCCGTCTCAGAAAATAAAAACCAAAAAGGCTAGAGACATTGCTCAGGGTGAAGGCCCTGGGCTCCATCCCCAGTACTAAGAAAAGAGCAGCCTCACCCCTTCCCTGGCCAGAAGTGGGCAACCCCCAGGGGGCGGCCATCAGGAGGGGCTGAGACGGCGTACCTCCGTCTGCACCATGGCCGGCCGCTGGGTCCGCAGCATCTTCACCGTCTGGAAGATGTCCACCACGCCCTCGTAGCGCATGCGCTCCAGCACGATGCTCAGCGTGATGAACACGCCCGTCCTGCCCACGCCGGCGCTGCGGGGGGACACAGGTCAG